CCATTTAGGGTAGTCCATGGGTAGTCCATTCAAGTAGTCCATGGACCAGGTCCATCGGGGTAGTCCATGGACTAGGGGTCAGTGAAATGTACCAACCCAGCTGAGAAACCGTGACAATGTCGGCGGCGAAAGGTGATATATGCAAATTAGGTCAAATTCTGTTTAATAAACCTTCGAAAGGAGTGTAAACTAGTGACATTTTAACGAATTACTTTGAACTTGGATACTATTAAATGAAGATCATAGACATAAGTATGCGCTAAAGAACTCAAAGTAATCCATCGGCCGTGAAATATTGCAGTCGGGAGATACGTGTGAAAGAGAAGCGAAATTCCCGCTTTGTTTACAGATACGTATGCGGCGATAAAGCAAACCCTGCTGTGGATCCCAATTTTCAAAGATACTCTTTGTCTACCACAACAACTCTCACTTATTGGTATCATAAAAAGATGCCCTCTGTCTGCAAAAAAAGTACTCGACTCAAAGCTTGTGGGCCGTCAATAACTTCGTGATTGTGCGGATGGCTGATGCGCTTACCGCTTTTAATGTAGTTAAGTTGCCGAAGATATATTCGAACCTTGTTAATAGACCTTAGATAAACGTGAGAATCCAAATTTCAGAACCAGGCTGAAAACAGACGACGATATATCGTGTTTAGGTTTCAGGACGTGATATAAAAGTTGCCACACTCGTCCTTGAAGTCTCCAATCGAGTACTCAAGATGTTCAAAAAGTATGCTCGGCTGAGCTGTTCAAATCTGTAGCATTCATTTTGGTGAATCTAATTCTTTGGCGCCCTCCAACGTTTATGATGTGTATTTCCTGTCAAGGCTGGACAGAAATTGCAAGGTAGAAAACTAGTAGGTATCGACAATAAGAAGAATAAACTTGAATTAATCAAGTGAAAACAACAGAGAATCTATGGCGCTTCCTGCGTGAATACAACCAGTGACGTCACAAGGTCCTTAAACTCGGTTCCAGAGCCGGGACACAGTTTTACGCCGAAAAGTCGATTTCGGCAGCTTGAAAAAAGCACTTTCCGTTAGGATTTGACAGAAATAAAGTGCACAATTATTTTAAGGACGTTTGAAACTATAGATTGGGCTAATAAAAGAGAGTACGAAAATTTCGTTTCAGTAGCACTTTAAAGGAGTCACACTTGTTCCTTTTCAGGCTATACAGTGAGCGATATGTAAAATATCTAGTTAAGTTTTCTTTTTTGTGTAGGCGGAGATTTATCTTTTTAAAGAATTTGCTGCCAAAGTGGAAAGAAAAGCTGCAGAAAATGCTTCCCTCGAGGAGGATTATGATGACGCACCTGATGAATTCAAAGGTGTTGAGCACATCCTATTCTATAACATATGTACAACACAATGAAAATATTCAGTTTTTCGGTAGTAAAAATTTAAAAATAAACCTTCTACAAAGATGTTGACTTGGTAGTCAATTTTCTCGTAGTTTTGATTGTTATCTCCAAGTGAGCAAACTCAGGGAAAGCGATAAGTTTGAGACGGAAAGTTTGCGGAGTGAAAAATTCGAAATGCTGAGAATTTTGAACAGTATTATGGCTCGTTAGTCATGATTTAAGTTGAGATCTTACTGCTTACAAGAAACCAGAGTTTGCAGTTCTATCAAGGTTTCTCCTAGCTGATGGTTTATGGATGGTTATCCAATTTATTTTGGCGACCCTTGAGGCATTTTTACCGCCCTTTTTGGATCGTGATTAGCTGAAGCAAAACCAAGTTCATCCTCTCTTTTCAATAGTGCAACTTTACAACAAGGTTTGTAATCATAGATGTTTCTGTTATTTATTACAGATCCGCTTATGATGACACTCATGCGTGACCCTGTCATCCTACCAACCAGCGGTAAAATTATGGATAGAGCAGTCATCATGCGCCATTTGTTAAACTCGGACACAGATCCTTTTAATAGACAACCACTTACCACGGATATGTTAAAGCCAGGTGGGACGATGATTACAGTTATTCGGCAAGTGCATTCAATATGAAATGAAGGATTGCTGTGATTTTGTTTGTTACAAAAATAATATGGATATAGCCTACAGAAATAATTTGAAACTTCATCAGTATTATATTCAAAGAGAACAAAGGAAACTGTCAATAGTTGAAAAATCTGTTTCTCAAATTCTGCACCGGAAAGCACACACAAACATGGTAATAGTCTCTGTGCAGCATGGAAAGAGCTTTCTGTCGTAGAGGGAAGGAAGGAAGGGTGAAATGGAACCCAAACCAAAACTGAACAATCATTAACGTTGAAGTACAAGAAAATCGAGCATTCCAATATATTAGGAGGAATCCATGCCATTCTTACTAAAGAACGTGTGTCGTGTAAAGTTGTTAGGTAAATTAATAGGATAGGATTTTTAAGACATCCCTACTCGAGACAAATAGTTAGGTTATTACCAACTTGAAGTTGATAATGGTAAATTAAAGGCCGTAGCAAAATTGGGAAAAGGTACCATTGTCGTCCGAGCAAAACACTTTTTCAGTGCTGAACTGGTCGGCTGTATTATAGCTTTGGTCTTAGCATATCCCATCTCTGATGGTTTATTAATGGGCTTGTCTACAGAGTTATAGACCCACTTCTTTAATCTCAGGTATTTGAAACAGCAGTTGGTAGTCGAGCCTAATAGATGTAATATAGTTCACGTCTCTGTTAACTAACTGTGTGGGGACTAAATTTTTTTCTTCTCTTTTCCTAGCCACTGAACTTGTAGCACAAATTAAGGAGTGGCTGGAAGCACAGAAAACAAAGGAAAGATCATTATGAAAGATATTTATGCCGAGCAATTGTTTACGAAGAGGACACCTTGGCTTCCTTCAATTATTGGCTTTTAATAGTTCTGCCACGTCATAAGAAATTACTTCATCGTGGAAAGTCACCTTCTACGCCTGGCGTGGATAATCAACAGTATGTTTGTTTTGAGTTATTTGCCTGGTTTTGGGTAATAAAGACCAAGCAAGTATCTCGGTTTCTGCTCTTGCTCACTCTGATTAAAATTCGAATTGTTGTTACGTAACGGCTTGCAGGCATTTCCAGGAAGCTCCAGGACAATTCATTTCGAACATAGAGTAAGAGCAAATTCTTTTCAAGTGTAATTTATCAAGTATAAAAGATAGCTGTGTACTAAAGAGCGAGTAAAAAATGTTTTTGAGTTGTGTATTACCATTTGAGGCAGGCTACAAAACAATTTGCTTATTTGCGGATTCTCCGTTACCTAGCTGCAACTTTTGAGGTTTATGAAAATAGTGGACATTAAACATAAATACTTTCAAAACCAGATCTTTTGCTCAAATGTTAAAATTATTTTGTTTGTTTTGCCATTTTACAGACAGTTCTTAAATTGTAGATCATTTATTTCATATCCACATTTTTTGTATTGCAACACACAAATTTTAACTGAACAAGGACCTCAACCAATTTACCTTAACCCAAATGCACTGCTTACTCACATAACCAACACCAATGACTAAGTGTCAATTTTGGACTGACTGGTGAATGTGGTGAACTCTTATTTAATGACTTCATTTTGCAACAGACTGTAGTTATTCCTTGACACTACATGCAAAAGTTAATATAATAACAATGTTCCAGTTCGAATCAAAATAAATCATCCATTTTGAAATTATAAGCGGTTTGTATAAATAACCTATTTTATTATGTTCAAGTCAGTGGTATACCGAGTGGTAACAAATTGATAAAAACAATATATCCTCGCATGTGAAGATATGATATCCTCACATGTGAAGATATCGTGTTTGATAACATTTCTCTTTTGTCTCTTTAACTACACTTAAATTTGTTGGTGTATGATCGAAACATCTTCGGATCTTCTTCGGTCGTCTTGGGCAATCTTCGCTAATCTTCAGAAAATGTGCAGAAAATGCTCGGAAACGTTCGTCTGGCCTTCGGAGCAATTTTGGAAAATCTTCGAAAATCTTCGGAAAGTGGTCGGAAATCTTTGGGAAAATGGCATCATCAGCATGTTTATACAATAAAAAGAACATTACCCATTTGGTCGAAGATATGAACTTTATGTTCTCGTGGCAAGAACAATATCTCACTCGTTTCCAGATAGTTCTTGCCACTCCAACATAAAATTCATATCTTCTCGCCACCGTGTAATATCCTCTATATTTGATTTCTGAATTTATTTTCTATTTCTAGCAGTCTGGGTTTGAGCCCTGGCTGGGGACATTGTAGTGTGTTCTTGGGCAAGACTCATGCTTCATGCTACAGAAACTGGAGATAAGTGCTGGCCTGATGGGCCACTTGACTCGTATGCAGACTTAACCTAACTTTTCTACACTAATCCAAGAGGCCAATTCCAAGTTGCCGTTTGCCTCTTTTTCAGAGAGAGAGTCCTCGTGCAAACGTTTCATGTGAAAATGACTTGATTTGCTTGAGAATGAATGTACAGGTGACGTACAGGTACATTTTTGCTCATGGATGTTATGTAACATCCATGGGCTTAGGAGGCAGTCGGATGGCGCTCTCGATCACACACTCACTCACTCACTCGATTCTAATTAATTTATTCATTAAACCTGGATTAAACAATTTTCTCTTACCTCCCCTGCTAAGTATTGTTTTTTCCAAGAGTGTTCAGTCGTCTTCGGGAACGTTCTTTGACGAGGGGGGACTAGAAAGGCGTACATTTTTGCCCTATAAATCGAGAGCCTGGGTATGAGTTTGTCGAACACCTCTAAGATTGAAGTCAGCCATTTTGGTTTCATGTGATTTTCTCTCGTAAATATGTTGTTTTTTGCCTATCGGCTTTTGCTCACACCTACATGAAAGCTGGTAGAGGTATTTATGACTGTGGTAACGTATTGTTCACAACAGCACGGTCGGCGAGGTCAAAGAATTGATACAAGACACCCGGGAGGACAAAGCCAGAAAGTGAGATCGTGGTAAGCTTTTTTCTTGGCAAGAGAATTTGATGGTTTCCACTCGCTTTCTCTCGTTGTGTAGTCTAAGGTAAGCTTAAAGTGCCACTATGATGAAATTCGCGATATCCATTTCTTTACATTTTCGTACACATTAGGTCTTTCCTAGATATCTTGCCAAATTTCAATTTTCTACGAACATTAAAACTAGTGGTTTTTTGACCTTAATTTCCGAGAATTTACGGCCGCCATTAATTTTCCTTGTTCCAAGTCTTGGTTGAAAATTTGAGAAAATGACGTCATTTTCTCAA